AGTGTAAGATAGTCTAGAAATCCTGAAAAAAAGCTTGTTTTCCAGCATATACTACTCGCTGTCATCGAAACATTTCATTGTAATCGGAGCATGAACGGATCAATAATACCCAAATATAGTGATAATGATGCGTTTGTGAAGGGAACTTTTGCTGTTGTAAATTTCAAAATATGCAAACTCAGTTAAGTTTATATCCCTCCCTGATTCCTGTAACCGCAAAGCAGTAAAAAACTCCACAACTCCTATGAAAGAATGCAGCATTGGAAAACAGATTCTTGAGCGTCTGATGTAACTTAGACAGTAATTTCGACTAGGGGGTGCACCGCGAGATAGTTATGGTTTGAGATCCCTGTGCAACTATATACTTGGCGACCTATAAATGCAAAATTGTGGAATAAACTGTTCTTACCTGTTTGATGTGCACCTTCATATGTTTAATATAATTTTTTTCAAAAAATACACTACAACGAGGCACTGTAGATCCGCTAATTGTGCGAAAAGAACTGGCTAAAGAACAAAAGTCAGCAAATCGCCTCATTAGGGCTGCATCCTGGTATTTGTTAAATAGTATGAACACACAAATGTATGGCTCAAAATCACCGCTGGGCAAGAACACTCTTCAGAGGACGGAAGAGTTCAATAGAAGAAGTGAAAAATCCGTAGAACTGAAATCCCTGCAAATGTCCAGATCCAGATCGCAAAGTAAGATATAAAGGTCGCGTTCGCTTGAGTGCACTATAAATTTGCAGCCTGATTTAATGAGTCTGTGAATTCCTTGCGCACACTACCGCTATGAGAAAAAGAAAGTTTCAATGAGAAAAATGTCGCCATATTTCAATGAGATTAGTCTTCTTCTCATTATTTTTCCCATCATACAGCACACCTGCTACCATTTTGAACCAAATAACAAATTACTGTGCTCTGCTTCCAAAGCGCAGTGTGAACACTGCATCAATAAAAATCTGTATTTCTCTTTGAAAGACTAGCATATAAGCTAACATATATGTCACAATCTAGAAAGCGCTTCACAATTCACAGAGATCTCTCTCATGATATGGTCTAGCCTATCAATGTGGCCAATGTATGATTAACTTATGACGCAAATTTACGACATGGTTGAATTTCCATATATTGTAGTTGAATTAGCGTGCGTAGGATCCTGTTCCGGAGAGCCGATCCAGATCCGGCAAAGGATAGTGAAGCAGCTTGTAATCGTGATAGAATAGGCGAACAATCAATTCCATAAGATACGGACTTTGCCGAATTCGATCTTCGAAAAACACTCGAGCTGCAGACTTGACAGTACTGTGGGCTGTACGTCCGGAACGAAGCGTCTCAGAAATGTAGTTGATCGCAGATTCCGATACCTCAAAAAATGCAAGTTATGGAAGGGCGGTAAGACCGTTTTTTGACAAATTGCTAACTGAGTGCGGTTTACGGCACGACATGTTGGATTGCATCTCCCTCTCAGGTGATGAGACGAAAGGAGTTATGACTTCTCGCTTCCAATGCTAGCGGCAGCGCAGGGATAGGAGCGTGGTGCTCGGGTCGTGTGGTCAGCCAATGAACGTGAGAAGCGCACGAAGTGCGTCCTGGCATCGACGACCGCTACTGAAGGCGCACTGGGTCTGGTCACACATTCCGCTTCAGTGTGATGTCTACCTCCAATAGAGCAAATCAGGAGACTTGAGTTGCGGCAGCGCTACACGTGACCCAAAAACGTCACCGAGTTGGTTCCCCAGTGTCACCGCCACTCCAGTGTCCTATGTCAAATCCTGCCGAGCGAAACCTGGAATAACAATTGCTGTCTGAATTTAGCAAGTGCTCGCTCGGCGTCACTCCTCAGTTTTGATATCTCATTCTGTTCCTTGTATGAGCCGCATACAACTCAGCACTGGCGATATGGCAAGTAGTGTCGCTTACTATTACAAGCGCGGTTCACTGGTCAATGATGGATGAGGTCGCGCAAAGCAAGTTTTCTGTCCCTCTGTGATAGGGAAACTGGTACCCGAATCGCCTAGGAGAAGAGCGCTGACCTTTTTATCAGCTCGTCCCGCAGATCACAGTTTCGGCAAACTCGCATGCAAATCTATGGAAAAGCAGTCACTCAAAAAGGGAGTGGTCGATTCGGGAACTTCCCCCTTTTATCTTTGCGGGAACCGTAACAACACTTACATTTTGAGATCTCAGCAGCGTGGTCAGATCCTCCAAAAGTGTCCCGCTAGGATCGTTTGAATACCGTATGAAATGGTATTTATCATAGTATGTTTCCATATCACATCGCCTGAATTTTCATCTGTCACATCTGTACGATAGTCCCACTAGAACAGCTCAGTAATGGAACCTACTAGACGAGTTTCTTTCTCCAATTAAGCTGCTAGACCTAAAACTGTGGCACTTCACTCACCAATTTTGTGGAAATACGTGAATGTCTTCCTTTGTTAGGTTTTGGCCTCGCGAAGCCGCCCTTATCGGCAAGTGCATATTCTCCAGCTCTGAAAGTGGTTCGTAATAGGGACTTACTACTATTCAAAATGAAAAGTGAATGGAAGTTGTGTAGTCATAGAAACTTATGAACCTTTTGTACTCCTCTTCTAGGAAACATGTAATGTTGCTGCCGCATCCAAAGCACGAATCTCCGACTCTGGAATATAAGGAATGGCAGAGGTGCTGGTCACAGTAACTAGCGTTCTTGAAAGCACTGTCCGCGTTGGTCGTATAGACCCTCTGTTGTGTCTTCCCCTTGCTTCTCTTTCAGATACGTCAAGAAAACAAGACGCTTGTGGAATTGGCAGTGGCAAGCCTGAGTCGGCCCATACGATCAACGCGCTCCGTGCCCATTAGGTGACGAAGAGATGGCATCAGCGGAGGGCACCTAGGTTCCAAGGCCTCTCACCCTTTTTCAAGGGTCGCAAGGCAAAATGCTCTTAAAAGGTCTGTAGCGGGCTTTCTGAGGCCTACCCTTGCAATGTGGAAGTCCAACCCAATAACCCAATAACACACATTTGACCGCTGAGATAGTAGGAAAAGGACACCTTTGAGGACATCTTTACATAAGATAACGCTTGCATAGTGGCCCATAACCTACAAACAAACACGCTTCAAGAAAGCAAAAACACTGAACAGCAAAGCATGTATGCAACACGAATGGCAGAACGTCAAGCACGCAGACCGGCAGGTAGACAGACAGATAGTCAGACAAACAGATAGACAAACAGACAAAAGGAAACACATGGAGGTTAATGGACAGGCAGACAGACAGGCAGACAGACAAATAGTGTACTCTGAACATAACAAATGGCATTGTTTATAGAGTAGACACAGAAACAAATACACCTGAAGACAATGGAAGATGAGGAGCCAGGAAGTAGAGGAAGGGAATCGCGACTGATCACTAGATGCGGCAGAAGAAGACTCTAGGACGTGACTCGTAATTGCTGTAGAATGGCAGCGCTCGGTCCACCGGTTACACGACTGCTCGATGCGTACAGAAAACGACGACCGAACTTGCTTTACGAAAATGGATTAATGGTGTGGGTGCGGTTTCCGGCGCATCATGCATTTCATAACAGGACCAGCAGTAAGTGCTACCAGAGCGCCATGAACCTCCCGGGACGATCGTACGCAAGTTACGACAACGTATGCTATGCCTCCAAAGCCACAATCGTAACCGGCAGAGCAAGACAACGTTGACAGACAAGGAAGCCCACCAGCTCATGATGAAAGGCAAGAAGAAGCAGCGGACAATAACGTGCAACTTGGCGCCGAAGAGCCGGAAGAAGAAGAGCCCGAAGCTGTGGAGCCCCCCGAGGTCCGATTGCGCAGAATCGAGAATGAAATCAGAAGCGCGCAGCAGGCCCTCTTCAACTTGGATGACATACTAAGACAACTCGCGCATGAAAAAATGTGCCCTCCAAGAAGAGCAGATCGTGGAAGAATAAATCGTCATCAAGAGCGGTACATGCAAAGTGCATTCTGCAGAGCCGTAGGCCAGCACTACTCCGACTCATGCGCAGTGGTCATAGCCGTGATCAACCGCAGGGAAATGATTCAAGACAAATGTCGGTACTGCTTGGAGGAACGTTGTACTCAGGACGAGCACTGCCCCAAATATTTAAAGCTATGTTTCCACTGTCAGAAGGCCACCACTCCGCTCTCTGCGATTTGCCGGAGAGAAGCGACGAAATTCGAAGAAGAATCGGAGAAGCGAGTGCAGCGCGATGGGAAGCCCTGGAACACGTTGAACTACTGGCAGAGGGAATTGCGCCTGTTCTGGGACCAGCGCTGAAGGGCGCCTGGGAGTATTGCGACTTCACGCGATCTTGCCTTTGAAATTACATCTCACAGTATCCTCTTCTCTATCTTGTGCGCATTCCAATGTAGAAATCAAGCGCAACTGTGTCACGTGTGAATTCCTCTAGGGGAGGACAAAAAGCAGTCCAGATGGCGGATCCTGAATAAAGGAACACTGCTCATCTTGTTCATTCCGTGCCTTCACATCATTTCACCTGTATCACCTGTGCTCCCGTTGATCATCGAGTTCCTCGAGCGGGCGCCAGTAACGTCTCCATTCGTCCCTGCAACGTGCAAGAGTTGCCCAATGACTCTCTCAGCTCGAGGGACACGATGAACTTCATACCATTCGTTCAGAGCTTTCACGAAGAAGTCTGACCATCGCGTAGGCGGTCTTCCAGGCGTTCGCTTGACATCCCGTGGAATCCAGTCGGTGATTGCTCTGGTCCAGCGGTCGTCCTCGAAACGCATGACGTGTCCGGCCCACCTGATCTTCGAAACCTTGGCAAATGCGGCGGCGTCTCTGATCTTCGATCGTTGGCGGAGTGCGGAGCTCCGGATTCCCTCTCTCACTTGCGTGTAGCGGGAAACTCCGAGCATCGCCCTTTCGATGGCGCGTTGAAACACCGACCGCATGCTCATCCTGCTTTCGTAGAGTCCAAGTCTCTGAGGCGTACGTCAAGGAAGGACCGCGGAATCGAAGAGGTGGGCACGGAGCTTGGTGTTCTTCGTCTTCTTCGCTACTCCCTCGATGTTCTTGAAGGCTCCCCAAGCCGCTCGCTTCCTCCTGCTCAGCTCTGGAGCTAGGTCATTTCATCATATTGATTTCACGACCTAGGTACACATAGCTAGAGCATTCAGAGATGGTCGTTCCGTTGAGCGTGAATGGGGCATCAGACCAATCCGTTTCTCATGAACATCGTCTTCGTTAGGTTCAGCCGTAGACCGATTCTTCCACACGCGCAGTCGAATTCAGCCAGCATTCGTTCCGCTTGCTCGATGTTTGGCGTTATCAAAACGATGTCGTCAGCAAAGCGGAGATGGTGTAGTTGCCGACCGTCGATCTTCACTCCCATGTCTTCCCATTCCAGTTGACGCATGACGTTCTCGAGAGAGGCGCTGAAGAGCTTGGGCGAGATGGTGTCGCCTGTCGACCCCTCTCTTCACATCAATGATGATCTCCTTGTAGAATGGTGAAATCTTGGTCGTGAAGTTGCTGTAGAGCTCACGAAGAATCCTGATGTACTGAGTAGGAATGCCCAGGGCTTCGATAACCGCTTCTGTCTCAACGGAGTCGAAGGCTTTCTTCAAGTCGATGAACGTGAGACATAACGGCATCTTGTACTCTCGCGATACTTCAATGAGCTTCGTTACCGTGTGGATGTGATCGATCGTGCTGAATCCTCTTCGAAACCCTGCTTGCTCGCATGGCTGTCCTTCGTCTAGTGTTCTGCCAATCCTGTGTGAAGAGTTTGTAGACTACAGACAGCAGGCAGATTGGGCGATAATTGCCAATGTCGTACAGGTCTCCCTTCTTGTACAGCAACACAGTCTTGCTGGTTTTCCACGAGGTGGGTACCTTGCATTCCGACAGGTAGCGCGTGAAGAGTCGAGCCAGAGTTTTGACGAGAACTGGCGGAAGATTCTTCAGATGTTCGGGTCTGATCCTGTCGGGACCGGGTGCCGTACGATTCTTCACCGACGAGATGGCGTGTCGGACTTCGGAAGAGAGAACTGCAGGAACGACATATCCATCCTGCTCCAAGCGGTATGGTTGCAGGTGGACGTGGCTGTCAAAGAGATCCGAGTAGAAGTCGTGGATGACCTTCTCCATTGCCCTTCTGGATGCGGTGATTGTTCCATCCGGACGTCGGAGGGCGGTCATCTTAGTCTTACAGTTGGCGAAGTCGCGGCGGGCGTTGCGTACGCTCTTCCCAGCCTCTGCGGCTTCCACCAGTACAGGACCTCAAGGAGAGAAGAGTACTGCTGCTCTTCTCTCCTTGAGGTCTTCCTTTATCGCTTCTCTGCATAGCTTCGCAAGCTCAGACGTCAGCTGGTAATTGCCTGCGGCTCGTGCGGCTCCACGTTGGCGAATCAGCTCGAGAGTTTCCAGAGATAGACGCTTCTTGGTAATCTTGGAACCCTCTGACTTCTTGGCGCAGTCGTGAAGATGTGCAACAAGCCGTTCGTATTCCTCGTCGATGTTGTCAATGACAGAATCCTCCCAGAGCCCAGCGAGAGAAGTGAAGTGATCCCAGTTGATGGTGGTCTTGGGGCTTCGCTTCTTGAACTTTGCGGCTCTCTCTCCTCGCATCGAAAAGCGGAATCTTGCGCGAAGGAGACGATGGTCGGATCCCGTGTAGAACTTAGGGACAACAGCGACATCGGTCAGGCAAAACCTTCGATTGCAGATGATGTGGTCGATCTCGTTATGGAATTGTCCACCAGGAGACTCCCATGTCCAGCGTAGAGAGTAGGGCTTCTGGAACTGCGAGTTACCATGGATGGTGTGGGTCGACATGATAAACTCAGACAGCCTTTCACCCTGCTCATTCCACTCCGTTCCGTGAGTTCCGATGTGAAGTTCTTCAGCCGTTCTTCTTGGTCCGATCTTAGCGTTGAAATCACCGACGATGACCTTGAAGAAGGTATGATCTTCCTTGTAGAACTTCTCCAATTCCATATAGAACGCTTCGAGCTCATCCTCGTCGTAGCTTGATGTTGGTGCGTAGGCGACGAAGATTGTCAAAGCTGGAGTTGAACCACATCTTCTCAATCGCAAACGTCCGATTCGGGTCGTCAGACTTTCGTACGAATCGATGTTCATGGCCAAGTGCGTGTTGACGAGGACGCCCACACCGCCAACGCCTCTGCTGTCGCATGTTCCGAGGAACAGTTCTTCTCCAGTCTCGTATACGGCGTGTAGCGGGCGATGCCTCCTCGTCTCGGTCAGTCCGATGACGTCGTACTTGATCTTCCTGGCTTGCAACATCAGATCTTCGATGTGAGCTTCCGATGCAAGCGTCCGTGCGTTGAAAGTACAGATCGTCATCCTAGTCCTGGGCGACTTCAAATCTCCGTTGGCCCTGTGATTCTAGCAGCCTCGTCCGAGCGGTCCCAGCCGACGTCGCCCTGTCGGTGGTTCCCTCAGCTTCAGGGGAATGAGGCCCATAATTGCTACTGTTTTCGGCGAGAAGAAAATTTAATCGCAATCGCATCGCATCATTTAGCCTTTTGATTTCTCACTTCATCTTTGCGATTGATGCCCTTATATTTGGTATTGTATACTGGGTAATTTAAGGTTATTGTATCTGGTTGATTATGGTTAATCTGTTTATGCGATTTTGCTTGTTTAATTACCCAAGTTTGAGGTAAATAATTTGTGCGCTCTGTGTTGCCTGTTGATTCGGTGGTGTACCATAGTTATTGCGACTATACTCGTATCAATTTAATATAGCTCCCATAATTCCCAGAAGGAAAAGCCTGGGAGAGAGTCAATTGATACGTCACGAGATGATGTGAAAGGAAGAAGAAAGGAAATGGGTGAGGGGGTCAGACAGCTAGAAGAACAAAAAAGGACCCATAAAGAGTTGAACAGACAGTTGGATAGACCGACAGGCAAGGACAAATTGAAAGTCGAACAGACAGACAGACAGAGAGACAAAAGGAAACGCAGGGAGGTTAATAGGCAGTCAGATAGACAGACAAACAAAGACAGCGGTGCGGAGTCCGAAGTTTCTGCGAAGATCTTGACGAGAGGGCCCTACACTTCAGTTCGCAAAACTTTGGATGCGTTTGGATACGTGCCAGAAATCCCAAATTGAACAAGAAAGATAGCAATCACAAGTGAGCTCGCTCCCTTCGGATCGACCCATAACCTGTGTGGGCTTCAATCGCCATCGGCTTCGGGTCGAAGGGCTGGGTCAGCTGAAGCCACTCACAGTGAGTCAGTTTAGCGGTGGTCAAACTCAAGCTAGCCGTGCTTCGCTAAGATTAGTTGATCTGTGCTTGTGAGCCACGAGACCTCCCGAGACGCCTTTAGTCTATGGTGAGCTGCTCAAGTCTGAAATGGCATTCGGCGGTAGGTCACCTTATCTTTGACTTTCCAGGCTCCGACGAAGGCGACTAGGCCGAAACGTTAGCCAAATAAAGTTGTTAATATCTTGGCTGTGGTTTAACATCTAATCAGGAAGACCTCACACGATGCCAAGGTTCATTGAAAGTCGATCATGGATGCTAGTGGAACCGACAGACCTCAAGGCGCACAGTGCAAGCAGATAGACAAACAGATAGACAGGCAATAAGACTGGCAGGCACATATCCAGAAAGGAACCAGGGAGTTAGAAAGTTTCCCAGAACACTTGAGATGTAAAATCTAGAAATTCGATGTCCTCGGTAGTGCTTTGGAGCCTACCTTATACATCTGTCAATGAAGCCAGACAGAAATCGATCCACTGGTTCTCGGGTGACCATACTGAAGCGCCATCTATCGAACTGATCACCGTGCAAATGAAGCCTCCTTTCCATATCCTTTACGCTTTTGAACTCGTTCTTCCAAAGAGCTTTCTGAGGGGAGGTGTGCGTTTCTCTGAGGGTACAGTACCCGTGGAGAAGACTATAGAATCTAATATGGTTCACGGTGCGTTTATGGTTCACGGTGCGTTTGTGCTCTTCTCCTTTGTTCGGTAATCGATGGAAACGTCTTTGTATGAAGAACAAGGAAAATGACAGAAAATTTAAGGAAAATAGAGACAACCCACCGTATGTCAGGATATTCTCTAAGAATACTGCGACCGGCATCGATGAATTCTTTTTCTCGCACAAGAAAACAGAATATGGCCGACATCACTGTGGACATGGTTTTTTGAATGAGGCATGACATCAGGTGGTGCTTCGGCGATGTCTGAAATCTCATGATTCATGGATGGCTCAATATTTCCACAATTTCTGTTGCTGGACCCTATTCCTTTCATCTTCGCTTAGACCCTGACAAG